ACAAACTATGGTTAAAATATGGTTATTAGGTAGGAAGACAAAGAGGTGATTGAGAAGAATGGGGATTCCCAGCAAGGATCAGTGGAAGTCACAAGAACCTATGCTAGGTTGTATCAAGATATTGTGACATTCCAACAAAGTATTCTAGATGAAAATAATGGCTGACAAGAGCGGTTCATTTTGAAAGGTTCTCTTTCTCTTGTTGTCATGGATAAAGAAAGTGAATTCAGCTTTTAGGACATTAAAAAAAAATAGATTACTCACTTCCATTTGGAGGACATTTTAGTTCCAACAAAAAAGACGAACTCTGTCTTTTCAAGACTAAAACGATTCTTCTCAAACCATTTCCTTAGTCTTATTGAAAGGTATTTTAACTTACACTATCAAGAACAATGAACACAGCCTTCTGGTAATGGTCACTAATTCTCTCCCAAGAGACATGTGGTTAGGCCTGAGAATTGGATTGCTTTAAAAAGTTTTGAACACCCCCCTGAATGGCTTTTAATTCGGGAAGTTTAGGGTTCCTTAGTCTTATTGAAAGGTATTTTAACTTACACTATCAAGAACAATGAACACAGCCTTCTGGTAATGGTCACTAATTCTCTCCCAAGAGACATGTGGTTAGGCCTGAGAATTGGATTGCTTTAAAAAGTTTTGAACACCCCCCTGAATGGCTTTTAATTCGGGAAGTTTAGGGAAATTAGTAAGGCCTTGCTTCACTTGGGATTCAAGGGGAAATGGACCCTTGAGTATGTGAAGGTATTAACATAGCCCCTCTCAGCAACTCTGGAAGAGGCTATTCTTTTTTCCAAGAATCATGCCCTCTGCAGCTGCCATGCAATCCATGGAAAAGACAGGTTTGGCTTAAGAGTTTGCAGAAAGGTACTACATTCATGTCCTTGTACACTCCGAACCCATTTTTTGCCTTTAAATCAGAGGGAAGCAGGCAGCATCGGAAGAACTGTCATATTTTAAGCAAAGAAATCAATAAAGTACTACACTTGGAACTTCTCAGAATTCTGTTTGTGTTTCCCATACTAGAGTACTAGAGTGACTGTATTCCAGAGAGCGATGGACTTGTTTTCTTGGTTTAATTCCATTATCTTATACAAAGAGAGAAGGAGGCAACTTCATAAAAGCACCTTGTTGCATGTTGCAATATGGAAAGACATGCAAATGTAATCAGATAATTAGCCAGTTACGCAAAAGGTGAGCCATTTAATCAGATCAGCAGACAGATCATCTCCTTTGCAGTCCTACAAGGAAGTTGGACTTCATCTACAATCAACCATCTGGAATCAGAATCTCTGTCACGGTCCTCAAGAACTTTGACCCGGCTGCATTTGAAAAGTTGACTCATGTTCCCATTACTGATTCTCACAGTAAAAAAGATCTACTAACTTTGGAAGTTGTTGTCGTTGTTTACTTTTTTTTAATTCTCCTTTTGAATCCAAGCCAAAAACAACTTCAAGGGATCCTGGAATGAGCTTTGATTTTTAGCCTGGTGTGATGAGCCCAGCAATCAATTTCATGAAGCTCTGACGAATCATAAATAAAGATCTAATCAATACAATGCATGTGTTTGCATCTACCCACCTTGCTACTAAAAAACATCTGTTTTCATTGATCTAAAATTCATTTTGGAAATGTGTTCTTAGCGTGTTTCAAAATGGGGGTGGGAAATGCATATGCCGTTTCCTAATACAGGCAAATTTCATTGACAACTAAAGGTGGGAAGAAGAAGAATGATGAGAACAACAACAGCAACGTATTGCTAAAAAAATATTAGCAACTGGAGAGTCCCAGACTTTATTTTCATGTTGTTAATAAAGACTGTAATCCTCCAGAGGTTATTAGTATATAATTCCCAGTGTTCTTCCATATTGGTCATCGTGATGGAGCATAGATGGTGAACATTTCAAGTTCTCAAGTCCTGATCTGTGGAATCCATACATGGGCTTGATGAAATATGAGAATCTACACAACCTGTCTATAAACCATTGTTTATGGTTTTACACAATTGTGTATTCATACAACATGCTTAATCAAGTCAAGTTTTAGAATCGAGCAGTTCCCATGTCACCTTAGGTTTGAGGCATTTTCTCAGTCGGTTTGGGGGAGGCTTTGAATAGAGCTTTTCTTTGGGTGCGAAAGTCTGTTAAGTCACTAAATTACATCCAAATCTTCAGGAAACGATTTGGAGGGAGATTTGGAGGCTATTCAATTTCTTGTTTTGGATTGCTTGGGAGATTAGACTGGGAATTTCAGATGGAATTGGCAAAGCAACTGAATCTCATTCAATTCAGATTTCCAAAGTGATACTCAGGCAACTGTTGAGTTTAGTTACGCTTGTCGACTGAAATTAGGCTTGTCCTCCTCCCTTGTTTATCTTCAGCGTCTAAACATCTACTGGACGTCTTCTTCCCCATGCTTTGAATTGCAGGTCTATCAACCTTGGCCAATGCAGATGATGAGGTTTTTGTTATTAATTATTGTGTGACTGGGAGACGCATAACAAAGCAAAATTAAGGGGTACATTTAAGAAGCAGGAGAACACAAGCAAATTCAAACAAACACCAAGCCATTGAGTAGATTAGGTTGGCTACTTCATTCCTATTTCCTAGTGCATTTTCTTCAGTTTCACCAGCCTGTGGCTTTTTCTGGCTGAAGAAGTATTTAAACAACACCAAATAGCTGTGCTGTTTGAAAAATGGTGTGAAAATGTAGATAAATTGCCCCAAATGAAAGCAATTTGAACAAGAGACCATAGAGGCTTTCTGTGCCTCTGTTTCTTCCCGACTATAATGCTCCAAAGAGAAGGCTGCTGAGTGCAGCAGATTTGCAAAATGAAGAGCAATCGTGAGGCCTTTGCCCATCCAGAGAGAAAGGTTTTAGCTGTGCTTTGCCCTTTGGGGGTTCATTGGGTTATGATGCTAACCAAATGAAACCTCTGGTAGTTTGTTGAAGGACTGGTTTCTTTCACTTCATTTTGGCTGTGTAATTGGGAAGTTTGATCCTCTGGTGACGGATTCTCTGCCCCTCCCAGAGGTCACACGGCAGCTTCAGTTTAATTTCATTCGGCCCTCAGCTTCATTGCACATGGTCTGCCCAAGAGATCAATTCAGACTTATGGTAAGAGTGATCTGTTCCTACCCTGGAGCCAGTTCATAATCTGCATGGTAGGGATGAAATCAATCTCTCCCTTTCATTTATCTCCTTTCCCCCCATTTCATGAGGAAGATTATTTCAGTTTAGGAAAGTTTCCTTCGTAAACTCAACCCAAAATGGGGGCTTTATTGAAAAGGAGGATATTATCAGGAAGTGATGGCTTCCAAAGGCATCTGTCTACACCCACAGCATATATAGGCATGTATTTCCCATTCAAAATACCAAGAATGTGTCTGATTTAGAGGATTCATGATGGCAACATGACATTGATTCTGCTGCTACTCATAATGACTCAGTTCCTGAGAAAATGTCAACTGTTGTTTCCCCCAGTGTCTCTGCCTACAAAGAAAGACATTTGGAAGGCTATTTCAATCCAGCTTATTACAATTAGCCTTGTTATAAAAGGCATTTGATGATAAAAACAAAACTCAGGAGCACCTCCTTTTCAGAGGCAGAGGAGCGAGTGGAGGGCCACCTGGCATTTCTTTGGCAAAGGACCAGGACTTACAGCTGGGCACCGTAAGGGTGCAGGCAAAACAGGAAGTGGGTGCATCCAAACTGAACCTGACATCCTTTTTTGAAAAGAAAATTAAGAATAATTAAATTTATTCTACTTTCTGCATCCCTTCTCTGCTACCCTATCTGATCTTAAGATGAGTAATGTCTAATTTTAACTTGGGGGGGGGGGGCTTCAAGTCAGACTTGACTTCCGGCGACTGCCTGGACCAATCCCTGCAGTTTTCTTGGCATGATTTCAGATGGTTTGCCCCTTGTCTTCTTCTTTCCAGGGCTGAGAGAGAGGGACTGGTCCAAGGTCATCTAGCTGGCTTCGTGCCTAAGGCAGGACTGGAACTCACAGTCTCCTGGTTTCTAGTCTGGTGCCTTAACCACTACACCAAACTGGCTCTCTAATTTTAGATATGCAAAACTGGCAGCAACTGGAGTTATGTACACTCTTGGACAATAGTTTTTTCCAATGGTATATAGACAATGGTGACCTTCCCTTCCCTTCCCTTCCCTTCCCTTCCCTTCCCTTCCCTTCCCTTCCCTTCCCTTCCCTTCCTTCCTTCCTTCCTTCCTTCCTTCCTTCCTTCCTTCCTTC